AATTTTGTTATCAGAGTTAATTATCGAAACCATAAGTGTTAAGAAAAACTTTATCATAACAGTAGTTACCTCAGTGTTTTGCAGGACCGGCAACCGGAACATTCCCGTGGCCGGTCCCAAGCTCGGATGACAAAGAAGTAGAGTTGGGGACTGTGGCGAATTAACCGTAAAACTTAGCTACCTACTCTCATGCTGTTATCGATATCCAACGTTATCCCGGTAATGTTGTCAGCCGAGTTACCAACGCCCGCTTAGACTTTTTGGGAACTGAGGCAGACTGCGAAAACTTGACATTAAGAACTTGCTTCACGCCTCCTGGTAGCTAGGGAGTAGCAGAACGGCAACGGCTACTGAAGGTCACGAAGATGAACGTACCAGGTAGCAACGACTCGCTACCCATTCTGATCTTAAGATGCAGACAGCCCTCTGCCATTATAGCATGTCAGAGAAGACTCCATGAAGACGATGCCGACAGTGAAGCCTACAGCCGGAAATTGGAACATATCCACACTCAATGGGAAAAAACAAGAGTTGATGAGGCCGCAAGGTACCAACTCGACATAGCTGGACTCTCGTCAACGAAGCGCCGAGGCTTTGGAATTCCGAACTTCTGTTGGTGGAAGCTGTTCTACTCAGATGTTGGTGTCACGATGCTCAGGCCGGTGTTGGTGTTCTGGTAGGATCCAACTTAACTGACAGAATCAGTGAATAGAAGCTTGTAGTCAGCAGAAAAGGGGCAATCGTTTGATTGAAACTACAGCAGACTAAAGCTTTGACCTTGCTACAGGTCTATGCGCTCAATTTTTCAGAATATGAGTTTTTTCTTTAGGAAGTGGAATGTCCTCTGTACGAAGTAGAGACACTTTTGAGGTTATTGCTCTTTTGTGCAAACAACGGACTGTCTGTTGAAAACATCGTTTTCGAGCATCGAAGCGTGCATCAATACATCTGATACAAGGAAACTTGTTTACAGTAGTCGACGATCGATTTGATAATTATATCGTCTGACTTATGTCTGACTGATACCTTGTAATGGATGTTCGCGTTAAAAGAGGCGCAAGAGCTATCATTTAATCACCACCTTGCTCTTGGCAATTGACGCTGTGTGAAACTGTGTCCCGTGCGACGAACGGTGACAGTAGCAACCAGAAAATTAAAAGGGAAACATCTTCTGCGGATACGACGGCGAAGCTTGGAAACAGTATCGCTCAAAGGTTTGAACAGATCTCAGTGATAGCAGCAGATGTGGAAACCGAGAGAAAACTCGCTACAACGCGCTTACTGGGGGTCGTTGTGAATGCTGCGGCCTAAAGCGGGTTGGCCTGCTGTCCTGGAAGTCAAATCCTGATGGACAACGCAGGTTTAGACGGTGTCAGCGAGAAGAAGAGGTGACTGAAGCGGAGCTTTAAACAGGAATACAATACGATGAAACGCGCAAGATGGCGCTGAAAGCAGTCGCCAATAGGAGAGCTGATTCCTAGAAAAAAAATTCGGTGATCCTTGAAGTCGAATTTTCAGACGGCAAACAAGGTATTCTGGCAGACCATTCGCTACATGCGAGATGGTAAGAAGGCAGTCTGAAGGTCAAGTCCAGACGCCTTGTCAATTACGAAGTCATACTTAAACGATGGAGAAAAACTGACCTGAAGGGCAGCAGACAACGAATATTAGTCTTTCAGCAGATGAAGTCAGAACCTGCAGAAATTTTGAAAAGTGGAAAGGCTGCTGATATCTATGAAATCTGATCTGGGGTACTTCAGGCTTTACGTGAACAAGGTATGTTGTGGCTAACACGTGTCTGTCAAACAGTGGCTACGAAGAACACTCCAGTGTGTTAGTAAGCAGCAGTTGTAGCACTTCTGTTCAAAAATGGAGCTCATAGTGTACTCCAGTAATCGGAGTACTACTTTATTGGGCCTTCCGGGAAAGATCTGCTCAGAGGCGTTGAAAAGGATGTGCCGCAGAACAGATGGCTCTAAGATTCAAGAAAAGTATGTGGCTTCAGATTTTCACCTTACGCCAAATTGTTGAGAAGTCGTTGAAGGTCGCTCATCCGATATACCTGTGTTCTGTTGATCTACAAAAAATATATGATTTCACCCTGTACAATAAGTTATGCGCGTACCTGGAAACATATTGGATTGATGGCCAGTTGCTACGAGCATTCAGTCGCTATACGTTGATAGCAGGTGCTGCGTCAGAATAAATAGCGTTGTATAGAGACCTTTCAGTGTTGGTACTGCTCTCCGCCAAGCGTTCTGTCCGCGTTTTTATTTCTGTTGTACATGGAGGATAGTCATGTGCGGCTAATGCGAGGAGTGTATCAGCGTACATGTGTAGACAAGAAATTTGCTGTTTGCAGATGACCATGGTTTGTTGGCACCTTCTGAAACAGATCTCCAACGTTCTCTGTAAAGTTTCGCAACCGAGTGCGATGTGACCGGCATGTATGTGAACGTGTCAAAAACGAAAAGCCTCGTGATTTCTCCTGCCAGCTGTGCTCTGCAAATAAATGAAGAAACAGTGGAACAAGTAGAGGTCACATTCCTATGGGTCGTGTTTTATAGTGATTGGAAATTGAAGAGATCGACCGGCGAATTAGAATGGCCAGAGGTCTCCTGCATGAATTAGCCTGAACTACTGTGAGTAAGGTATAGCTGAGTTTGAAGACTAAGCCGCCTGTTTGAAATCGATCTCCATCCCATGCTAGCCTGTAGTGATGAACCGTGGGCCTACAAAACTACAAAGGTCCTGACTGAAAAACTTCGATCCCGTTTACAGGCGCTGTCTGAGACAAATCGCTGAGCCAATGTCTCGCGATGGTCAAAAGTGAAGATATCCCAGAACGCTGCTGTACAGCTGCTGCTTCTCCAGACCGAAAAGTCACAGCTGCGATGGTGTGGACACGTTTTATTAATGCTTTAAGAATGGAAGGTGAAACAGCTGGTTCTTGCCCAACAGTCTTACCGAAGTCCTCGATTACAGCCAAGAATGGCCTTGGGAAAGTCTCACATAGTCTACTCAGGTTATTTTCTGTCCAGATTCAAACGCTCTTACAGGATTGGGAATATTAAAGACACTATGAAGCGTCAGTCTCCGCTACCTGAAAGGACAGTCAGTCATCGAAACTGACGGGTGTTTCGCGGGAAACGGCTTCTGGGAAGATCGAGAGTTTTGTTGCATCTCCTTGCCAATGGGAGAAGTGTCGTCGACAGCTTAAGAGGAATAGAATAGGCCAGTCTAACAGTGAACGTCTACTGGCTGAATCTTCCATTAAAAGAATTTGTAACGATACTGAACGTAGACTGCTCCGTGTTCGCGGCTTTGGTTTGTTAGAAAAATCCACCGCTGAAACAAAATTCGTTCGTTTCTACCATGACGAAATTTAATTTTAGATTACACGGCAGAAATATACGTTCATTCGTTAAATTTTGCTTTAGAAGTTTGGTTAAACCAGTAAATATATTTTAAACACTATAATTGACCAAGTTGTTCCCTGAAGTACATTTATTCTATTTACATTTCATCTAAATTGATTTTGTATTCTGGTCACGAGGGCATCAGTCCCTAAAGCTAACCAATCAAAAATGTAATGCTCCGGATAGAAACGGATGACTAGTCTTATGTAAAAAATAACATCGTCAAACGGATGCTGAGTTGCGCCTTTTTCATCCGTCATATATATACATGTCTTCGATAACTGCTATTCGTTTAGTATTAAAGGCTGGGTGGGATGTATCGGAAAGGAACCGGAAGAAAATGAAATTCGAAATGGTCATAAACGAGACATATTCCTGTGAGTATATTTATATTATTAGTTTCTATCTTTTAACAAACTTTCTTATCAATAATATCAGTGCATATCTACCAACAGAACAGTTACCTCTGGTT